TTGTACTCCACCGATGAGGATCTAGAACACTCCATCCAAACTGTACTGCTCTCTGAGTTTGGTGCTTTCCAACAAAAGGCTGATGAAAAACTGATTCAGACATTTGATCATTTCAACCATCTTTTGAGTAAGATGATCAAGCATGGTATTGGAAGAGAAGTGATCGAACAAAAGGTCACATTTTGAATGGTTTAAGACCCGAGATGATGGCTGTGGAATCAATTGTGAAGGCTCATAAGCACTTTAAAACCTATTCACTGGCAAAGATGGTGGGTATTCTTATGTCTCATGAAAGTGTTGTGACAAAAGAAGTGAAAGTGGTGTCTATTATGGGATCCTTGTCCCTTCTCTCTAAAGCAAAGAATGTGGCAGAAGATGAAGAAGATTCAGAAATGTCAGAGTGTGATCTGACAAGCGAAGAGTATGCAATCATGGTTTCCAACCCGAAGTGGTTTGCTCGTAAGAAGTTCCCTGTCACCAAGAACCGAAACTGGTAGGGAAGCTATAACTTAGAAAAGGGTAAAGAGGAAATCAAAAACAATCCTCAAAAAGAAGAAGAGAAGAAGGAAATCAAACTAGTTGGAGACTCTGCATATGACTGTAACTTCTGCCATGGTAAAAACCATTTTGCCAAAGATTGCATGTTGAGAAAGCTTTCAGAGAAGAATGAGGGTGAAGATGATGAAGCATATCATATGCACAAGTTACAGGAGATAAAAAGAAGAAAGCCTCTAATAAATTTATGAATGTTTTGGTTGTGCAAGAGAACGTTGGCGATGATGAGTTCGGTGGAGTAGAGGTATGGTCGACAGACTCTGAAGATGAAGAAGTGTGTAAACCAACGCATGGCAAGGCATTTGTGGCCAAAGAAGATAATGTTAAGTTTGTTGGGAGATGCTTGATGGTGAGTACTGGAGTGTCTCAAATAAGGGGCTACACAAGCGAAGCTGAGTGTAATGAAGCGAATCAGAATGAAGATAAATGTTTTGTTGCCAAGCTTGTGAGCGAAAGGATCAGGAACTTTGATCAGTTGATCAATAAGGTACAATCTATTCTCAAATAACTTAAAATACTTGAAATGAACTATGAAAAGGAATTAAACGAATTAAAATTCAAGTTTTCTAGTTTAAGTGCTAGTCCAATGCAAACACGCCTTACAAATTCTAACCTAACCGATCAAATTAGCATCGTGTCATCCAAGAGTGAGGATTGTGGATAGAAAAGATAGAGTTAGACATAGTTAGAGTGAGAGATGAGTTGATATATTTACAACGTGACAATTTGAAGTTTTTAAAACAGAGGAATATTTTTTGTTTGATTGCTAAACGTATTTACACTAATATTACTCAGTTGCATTTGAATTGTGATATTGGCAAAAAGGTTCACAAAATGATTTTGCCCTTTCTTGAATTGAAGGAGGATGAAGTCGACATTGACTGCTATAATTGTGAATCTATTGTATCTTCAGACGAAATTTCAAAAGCTTGCAGAATTGGTCTGGACAAAATTGAGTCCTTTATTAAGTCCAAAGACCATAAGGACATGCTTAGGAATTTGTTGGATGAAAATGACAAATTAAAAATAAAGACCGAAACCATGCATAAATTTGACTCATTAAGTACCAAACTACGTTCAGAAAATAAGATGAATCTGGAATATTCTTTTGAATTTGATGAGGACAGTGATATGAGTGAAATTTCTGTAGAGGATGAGATTAACTGTTCTGAGTTTCTCAAAAGCGAACCAAAACCTGCAAAGCCACTAATATCTGAAAATTTAGTTGAGTTCGCTCGTACGTCCAAAAAAAAGTCCAAAGTCCTTAGAAAAAAGGCATTTGTATATCAAAAGGTGCAAACTATACCGAATCATGTATATGATGCCTCTGGAATAACCAAGAAGCATACAGTTGAGCTGACTTTGTTGGTAGATAAAGACAATGCTGATGTGTGTGATAACTTTTCCCGGTCAGCTCCAATTGGCAATGCAGACGAAACAGTAGGTCTGCAGAGCAAACCTCATGGAGAGTCAAGGTTAGATATGTGGCCGAGCCACTTAACCAGCCTTCAAGCTTTAATAAGCCAAGTACAAGCGGTACTAAAGAAATTCAAAGCGAACTAGTAAAGGCTTCAGCTAAATCATCTCCAAGCGAAGCCAGTAAAGAGAAACCGAAACCAAAAGCAACTATTCACAAGTCTCAAAATGTCACACCCCAAAACCGGAACGGCGGAAACGTTCTGGGGTGGATGATGTCATGTCATGTATCACAATATATGTAGTATAGTAATCAAAGTACAACAACCATTGCATTAATAGTAATAGTTTTACATGGTTTACATTACATTACATCATCAAAGTAATACAAGTAATAATATAGATGCAGCTTGGTACTAAACTGTCTTCACCAAAAGCTCCTAGGATGTACCTGTCTATTGCTGACCTGAGAATACAAGTTATTTGAAAGCGAGTATCAACATTTTTACAAATGCTGGTGAGTTAATAAGTATTTAGTGTCATTTTAATTCAAATAACTTTATACAAGTAGTAGTTATAAAATACACAGTGAATTAGAGTCCTTTCCAGAATATCCTATATTTTCTAATTTAAAAGCAGTCTTCTACCAAGACTGGACGGAGTTATGTTGTAAAAAGTGATTTTTCCCTTAACACTATCATTATCAAAATAGGGTATTGATTGTAAAGAAATTAGGAATATATCAGGGAAAACAACATATGCCCCAGCAGTGAAGACTACTGACTAAGGCAAAAGAAATCAAAGACTCCAGGAGAGTATCGAATGAACGACGCATCTGACTTAGTCTAATCAGAGGAGATACAGACCCCAGACAGAATCGAATGAAAGATTACGTCTAGCAAGGTCTAAAACAGTGAATACAGACCCCAGACAGTATCAAATTATTGATAAGTCTAGCAAGGTCTAAAAACAGTGAATACAATGTTAATTTCCATTACCTTAAGGACATGAATTATAAGGTAACCCCGAGATACTCGTAACCATACTGATAGACACTAGAGAACTTGACGCCCTGCAAGCATCGGAAATAATGTGACATTTGTCACCCCGTTGGCTTGGTACGTCGTGGACTGTAGCTAGTAGTCAGGGTGTGGGGGTGTTAATCCCGTATAGATCTATACATATAATGCCCGCTCTCCTTACAAGAGACTCTGGTTACCAACTAGACGACGGAGAAGCTGTGTCCTGAAGATCCATGTCGAATAGTGAGATCTAGTGTAAAATATTGGACAAGTGATAGAGACTCACAACTGAACTGACCGATGTAAACCTATATGTCTATCCTTGTATACATAATGTATAACTAATGATCAAACGACCTTCGGACGGATATCCGATCCAACCAGACCACATCTCAACGAAGAAAAGGAAATAGGGTGAACTAGCCTTCCTAAGTCCTTTAAACATTATTTATATAACTTATACAAGCATAGGCATACATTTAACTAAGTAGAAGCATTTAACGAAGTTTAAGAGGGTGTTTGTTTTTTCTCTGCAGGTCTGCGTGACCTCTTCTGTCTGCGAGGCGCAGACCACGCGCAGACATAATGGTTTGCAGTCTGTTTGTTTTTCTGAAGTGCGCAGACATAAAAACGTCTGCGCGAGGTCTTCACCACACAGATATGGGATAGCATCTTCTAAAGTCTGCAAGCCCTTTAACCTAAAAAAAATGCGTCTTTTTTTCTTTTGCTTCCGCCTCCCGTCCTCGTCCAACCCTCCCAGAAAAAACCCTCCATCGTTCGATCGTTCTCCACCTTGCAGCGACCACCACCGTCGCAACCCTCCTCTCCGATCAAAGCCATCAATCGCCGCCTTCCTCTCCGATCCAGCGTCCTCCGATTTTCCGACCATCATAATCGATTGCAGCAGCCGGCGAACAACAACCCTCGATCGATCGTACTCCACCCTGCTCGATCGTCTGCTCGCCGTCGTTAACCACCCTGCTCGCCACCGGCCGGAGACCGTCGCCCCCACAGCTACACCGGAGACTTCGACCTCACAGGTTCGTTTTTTTCTTGCTGTGAGCTACACGTTTCTGTTATTCCCTTCTACATATATACTTTCTGTTATTCCCTTCTTTGTGTTGCATTGAAGCTATAGTTCAGAATTTATGTTAATTGATGCATAAACATGAGTGTAAACACCACATAGACCAAAAATGATATAAATCAACTACTTATTTGAGCCTCATCTTATTCAGATTTAAAATGATGTATTGATCAAGATTCCACAACAATCTGTTGTAGTAATTGAACAGGTAGAATAAAAAGCCTCAAAAGATTGTTGTCAACTAAATTGTGTAAAATAAAAACATTTGTAATGAAAGTAATTTATCTTTGAATGTGAAATTGGATTTGATTATGTGTTTGTGCTTCAATTAGCAATTGAACCTAGATTGTTGTGATGTGTTTGTGCTTCAATTAGCAATAAAAAGCCTCAACTAGATTGTTGTGATGTGTTTGTGCTTCAATTAGCAATTGAACCTAGATTTGATTATGTGTTTGTGCTTCAATTAGCAATAAAAAGCCTCAACTAGATTGTTGTGATGTGTTTGTGCTTAAATATGCAGTAATTCAAAGTTGTATATATATATATATATATATATATATATATATATATATATATATATATGATTATTGATTGTGTATATTTATATGATAGTGTATATGTATATGATTGTTGATTTTGTATGTATATGATAGAAAGCATCAAAAAGAGACATAAGTTTTGTTTATTTTATAGAAGTAAAGTTTTTTGTCGTTAAAGTGAAGTTTATTTGATTTATAAAGTTTTTTTAGAAAACTTTGAATTAAAACACTCTAATTGAGGTTATTTATAATTGAATAAAAAGTTTCACATTATTGTGATTGAAAATCAAACAAAATTACAAATTTGTCGTGAAAATAAAATTTTTTTCTTGAAATAATGATGTTACTTGTTCACTGTTTATTGTTAGTTGGTTATTAGAGATGGGAGAAAAACAACAATGGACCAATGAGCACTTAAAATGCTTATTGGATACTTGTATTGAAGAAGTAGAGAGTGTTGGTAGAAAAGGATTGAGTTTACAGAAAGATTCATGGATAAGGCTTGGAAGAGTTCTTAAGGAGAAATTTGGGGTTGAGTTGACTCAAAAACAAATGAAAAACGCATATGACAATCTGAAAGCCAAATACACTGGATGGGTATATTTAAAAAACAAAACCGGTAATATATACAATTCTCAAACAAACACTTTTAATTTAACAGCCGAGGAGTAGGATGATTTTAAGAAGGTACATATACATTAATATACAATATATATATATATATATATATATATATATATATATATATATATATATATATATATATATAACATTTACGTTTGAAGTTGCCAAATATTCTTATACTATTTCTTGTTACATTTGGGTTTAGGGGCATCCGAAAGCTGCTTCTTTGAGAACAATTCCATTGCCTTTTCCAGATCTTTGTGCACGTCTTTTTGATGGAAATAGTGCTACTGGTAATTTTAGGAGTTACTCAACCCAATCATCATCGGTAGCTGGCGCATCCTCCTGTCGTGTTCCACCACTTCAGATCACCGCCACCCCTTTTGATGCAATGGATGATGATGGTGTTGACACTTCTCATCATGAGCCACCACCTTCTGCTGCTTCACCTTCTGCTGGTTCACCATATACTGGTTCACCTTATACTTCTACACCATCCGGTAACCCCAACAAAAGGGCTAAACCCTCAACTCCTGTAGCTCCTAGTGCCTCACCGTCTGCTTCTTCACCTGATGGAACTTCTGTTACTGCTGACGATTTAGCATTTGAAATGAAGAAAGCTCTACAAAGTTTGACTAAAGGGTATACAATTCCTCAGTGTTTAGAGAAGTTAGAGGTCCTTCAGTTAGGCCCTACAGATCCTTTACGCTTTGTCGCATATCATATTTTTGGAGGAACCATGAACATGAGAGAGATGTGGATGCATTTGCCGATGTTCCCGAGATATTACGAGGGTGGCTTGAGATGACGGTACCAGTTTAGGAGTTTTGAAGGATGGGAAGATTGTTCGATGATTTTCTAGTGTTGAAAGTATTTGTTAAGTCTTTTTGCCCTTGTTGGAACTACTTTGTTAAATGTTTTTGCCTTTGTTGGAACTATTTTGTTAGGTCTTTTTGCCCTTGTTGGAACTACTTTGTTAAATGTTTTTGCCTTTGTTGGAACTATTTTGTTAGGTCTTTTTGCCCTTGTTGGTACTTGAAATATGATTAATGGAATGTTTATTTGATACTTGAAATATGGTTTATGTAATGTTATTTTGGCTTGAAATATGATAAATGGAATGTTTATTTGATACTTGAAATATGGTTTATGTAATGTTTTTTAAAGTTCTACTTTGTTGATTTTAGGTTCATATGGATCACGATCAAAAGTTACTTCTCGTAATTCTAATGTACCTATACATCCGTTATTTTTGGAAGAGGGGTGTGAAACGATTGCGGGATAATGATTCGGAAATGACGGGACACGAATACACATTGGAGTTATTACACCGTAATCGTTTACAATGTGTTGAAGTATTACGCATGTCCCGTGAATCTTTTGTACGACTATGTGCTCATTTTAGAGCAAATTACTCATTAAAGGACAGCAAACATGTATCAGTTGAGGAAAAGATGGCTATGTTTTTGATGATGATCGGACATAATCAACGTTACGTGATTATCAAGCGGAGATTTCAACACTCGAAGCAAACAATTCATAAATTTTTTTATGAAGTGTTGGAAAAAATGATGCTTTTCGCACAAGATGTTATAGTACCAACATCTTTTAATCCGAATCCAAACATTCCAGGACATAATAGGAGGCTACGAAGGGTTTTCAAAGGAGCAGTTGGTGCACTTGATGGCACTTTGATACATGTTGTTGTCCCTGCTAAGAAACAAGACTTATATAGAAGTAGGGGAAAGGGAGATTGCTACCAAAACGTATTGGCAATATGTGACTTCAATATGATTTTTACATTTGTTGTGACCGGGTGGGAAGGGGTAGCGCATGACTCTAGAATATTATCAGAAGCAGTAGCCGATCCACAAGCATCATTCCCGTTTCCACCACCAGGTAATTTTTTGTTTTTTTTAATATTTTCATTTTAATTTGAAAATTGATTAGTGTTTTGCATTTTTTTCAGACAAATATTATCTTTGTGATGCCGCGTATGCACACACTCGAGGATTTATGGCCCCTTATCGTAATGTGAGGTATTGGCTTGGAGATTTTCGTCAAAGACGTGCATTGACCAATAAAGAAAAATTTAACCATGGACATGCAAAACTTCGAAATGTCATTGAGCGTGCTTTTGGTGTTTTGAAAGCACGCTTCCCTATATTGAAGAGGATGGCACCATTCCCGTTTGTGACACAAAGAAACATTGCCATGGCATGCTTCGTGCTTCATAATTATATAAGGAAAGAAGGATTGAGTGATTAGTATTTCGCACGATACGATGAACCCAATGTCCCGTTTCGAAATAACAATGTGGCCATTGATGATGATGAAGACGAGATTCCAACACATGGTACTGCAGCAGACCGTGAATATATGACTCAGTTACGTGATGAAATTGCTGATCAGTTGATGCACAATATACATTGAATTGTTTTAAATGAAATTGTTATTGTAAAACATTTTTTTTATTGTATGACTAATTTAGTTGCATGAATTTTATTTTCAATGTTATAAGACTATTATTATTAAAATTTTGGTGTTGAAAAATCATTTTAAGTTTGTAAAATAATTTTATTTAAAATTCAGTTTATTTCAGCAGCCTGCAGACGTTAAAAAACAAACAGTCTTCTTATTGCAGACTGCAGACGTTTGGTCCACCTCTTCTGCTGCAGAGGCTTGCAGATGTGGTCCGTAGACTGCAGACATTTTGGCTTCAGAAAAACAAACAGCACCTAAGTGTTTAACGAAGTAGAAGTGTTTAACAAAGTATAAGTGTTAACGAGTAGTGGCGTATCGTGAAGTATAAGCGTATCGTGAAGTATAAGCTTATCGTGAAGTATAAACGTATCGTGAAATATAAGCGTATCGTGAAGTATAAGTGTATCGTGAAGTATAAGCGTATCGTGAATTATAAGTGTATCGTGAAGCATAAGCGTATCGTGAAGTATAAGCATATCGTGAAGTATAAGTGTATCGTGAAGTATAAGTGTATCGTGAAGTATAAGCATATCGTGAAGTATAAGTGTGTCATGAAGTATAAGCAAATCGTGAAGTATAAGCGTATCGTGAAGTATAAGTGTATTGTGAAGTATAAGCGTATCGTGAAGTATAAGCGTGTCGTGAAGTATAAGCGAATCGTGAAGTATAAGTGTGTCGTGAAGTAAAAGCGTTAACAAAGTGGTAGTGTTTAACTAAGTAGGAGCATTAACTAGGTGGAAGTATAACGAAGCAGTAGTATCTAACAAAGTAGGAGTATAAAAACATGGAAGAAAACTTTGATGAAATCTTCAGAAAACCTTTATACTTTAAGAAAATCATTCATAAACAAGTTTTGATTATAACCTTGATAAAGTAGAGAAAACCTTTATTTAAAATGATTCTGTAACAGAGTTTGAAATAAAACATACAACATGAGAGGTAATTTGAGAAAAGCTTTGAACACATAAAGACGTTTTAGAAAAACCATTTACAGTATCATACTTGGTAAAACAGTTGACAGTGTAATGAATCATTGTGCATGCGGGTTATCAATCACATGTGATTGATATGATAACTGGCATGTTTAACTTGTATCCCCCCCCCCCCCCCCGAAAAGCATGTAAAATTATTTAAAAGGTTAATTCAGGGGTATGAACTCACATGTTGTAAGTGGATCCGACGAAGGTGTCGGGTGGATGCTCGGTGTCAGGTAAAGACTTGAACACACTTAGTGACCTATAAACATATGATGACATATGTTTACAACCAATTAGTAATTATAATACTAATTAAACATGTATATGCATCCTAAAGTGCAGAAAACACTTTCGGTATGTGTTTGGAGTGTCCCGAGTAACATCTAAGGGGGTGTATGGCTTAGATTGGGAGTTTACTCTTCAAGAGTAAACTCTTTATAGATTTCACGGTCCTGGGACTAACTCCCCATGAGTTTATGGCCGTAAGCTCATGGTAAGGGTGTTCTAGGATGCTAAAATGTCTTATATCACTCGAGGAATTAGGCTAGACTCAAATCTAGGGCTTATGAAGGGTTTAAGGCCTCACTTGGACCATTTTTGGGAGTTTACGGCAGTAAACATGGAGTTTACGGTCGTAAAATCCTACTAACCCTTTCCTTTTGTGTTTTGAGGTCTTAAATGGTAGAGAATAAAGTTCTATGCATTTTTCCAAGACAAATGGGGAGTTTAGGGCATCATTTGGGCACCTTTTAGGAGTTTACGGCCCATGGACCTTTCCTAGGGGGGTTTACAGCCGTAAACTCCTATTTCCTTGGATTTATTGAAGTTCAAAGTCCCTACTTCAATGGTGGTTGCTTCTAGACATTTTCCAAGGCCATAGGAGGTGTTTAGGGGCATTTCTAACACCGAAACTTGGGTTTACTCCCCATGAAGAGAAGTTTACGGCCCAAGCAAGTTCTTGGGCAGTAAACTCAAGTTTAATCCCCAAAATTTAAGTTCAATGTCTTCTAAGTCCGTTTCCATAAGTCATTTAGCCATATCTAAGCCTTAGGGGTAGTTTAGAGGGGTTTTCGGGCTTAAAAACCCCATTTAATGGTGTTCATGGTCCAAAAGTGTTCTTGGTCCGTAAACACATGAATTTACCCCTATTTGATGTTGTAAACACGTATTTGCATGTTAGCTAAGCTATACAACAAGTTAGGATAGAGTTCTTCCTCGTTTGGGGCTCGAAACGGACGATTTTGGCTCGGAATTAACTTGTAGAGAGAGTGTGTAGAGAGAGAGAGAGTAAAAAGGGTGGAAATGAAGTTTACTCTCCCTTATATAGGGTCTTAAGTTGAAGTTCAGTAGAAATCTACCCGATACTGCTATTAAACGGGGCTTTTGGTCACACCCAATTTAGTGGTCGTATTTTGACTTGGTTGAAACTAAAATTTTTGAAAGGAAAAATTTGGGGTGTTTCTAATTTATTTCAACCTTCATAAAGTCATTCACAAAGTCCCAAATAAATTAACCAGTCCAAAAGTTAATAGACAGTTAAATAAAACGAGGCTTATTAACGGAAGAAGGGGTTAAAAATGACGGAATAAATTTCGGGTTGTCACATCATCCCCCCATTAGAGGGAATTTCGTCCCGAAATTCAGGTTTAGGTAAGGAAGTAGGTATGAATGACCAAGTAACAGCAGGAGGGTACTCCCTATTCAGTTTGGCTTGTACTCCCAAGTGATCTCTGGCGTGTGTTTGTCATTCCAACAAACCTTCACCTATGGGATGCGAACTCCGTCTCGTGTAGTTAGCGATTTCCTCCAGGTATGTCTACGAAGTTAGGATTCTCAGTGGTTTCTATCAAGATGAGTGGGATACAAAAAGTGATATCGGGCAAGCACTTATCAAGTCTAAGAAGTGGATCAATCTAGGATGAAGCTTGTGGAATATCCGAAAGTAGTAGTGGTCTGATGAGGGTTGGACCAATCTCCGTAAAGGATCTCGGATGGTCCAAAGCTCTCGGAAGGGTAGAGATTTTCATTACTGAGAACGTATTGTACTCTATGGCACGATCATCACTAGCGTGATCGCCATTCCGAAGTTCCTAACGTTCTCTCTCATACTGGAAGTGTAGTCCTTCAGGTTGGTTCTTAGGAAGCTCGGGTTGTCCTTAGTTTCGCGTTTCCTGTCAATTGGCTTTCAGAGACTTTCCAGATCATCAGATGGATTACGTGTCTACGGTATCTTTTTGTTGTAGAGTGGCTATCTCACTCTTGTGCAAAATGAACCTGCACTAATGAATCTTGAGATATTCCTAACGGAAACCCTCAGGGTCGGGGAGATAGGGTTTCACCGGACGAGTGTTGGACTATTTCAGGAGGTGGTTCTATTATTTCTACGTGAGTTAGTATTCGTGGAACACCAAATAGTCCAATGAATCTTGTAAGACATGCCCTAATTTCCAAGGCGTTGGTTTATTTTAGTGCGGAAAGTGTGTGCTCTTGTATAACCCATCGACTAACACCTAGACTGGCATCAAGGCTATAATCTCTTCGGGATCTGGGTTATAAGGATTAACGCAACTACTTCCACATTTTGACCAAGTATACTTGGCTGCGGAGGTTATCCTGTGGTTCTCGGTATTCTAGTGTTCGCTTCGGAGAATGCAGTCTATCGCCTACAAGGCGGCGGTGACTTCCTTCATGCGAGAGGGTGGAGGATCCTAGGCACTACTCATCTGTAACGGGTGGACGAAGTGTCTGAGTAGTACAAGCATCTTCAGCAACTACTCT